TTTTACTAATGTCACTATGAGTCTGTTAATCTCTCTGACTTTAGTTTTTCCATCTATGAAGATTAAATTTCCTAAAACACTGCTTTCATTATCTCAGCTTCCTAATGGATCTTTTTGCCTATCTCAGCAAGTACAAATTTCTCTTACAAGCCTCTCAATAAAGAGGCTCATGTTTACCTATTCAATGTTATCTATTTCTCTTCTACACCCACTCTCAACAGGTCAAACCATTCATCATTTCCTGTGTACTTCTGCATCCTTGCTTTTGCTGTTATTCCTGACTGAAATACTCCTCCAAATTCTATTCATTCTTCAAGGTCCAGCTTAATATTATCTTCTCTAAGAAAGTGTCCCTCATACCCTAATATAATCGGTGCCACAATTTTGACTTAATTAAATGTTATCTGGAAACATCATCTAATTGTATTTTGTGCTTTTATTTTGTATCTTCAACTAGCCCATAACTTTGAGGCCAAGATCTGATTATGTCCCTTTTCTTTGAAATCCTGTAGCAGCACCCCATCACACTAAGACTAAAGAGCAACCACCTTTCAATGACCATAACCAGGGCCTAATTTCTCTTTCTCAGCTTATCTGAGACCACTTCTCATCTTGTACCCTGCATTAGCTACACTGAACTATTCTGTTTCCTTAATTGGTGTTCTAGTTTTTCACTTCTCCATGCGTGCATTCTCTCTGCTGAGACTGTTTCCTCCCTTTCTCTGTTTGATGAGCTCCTACTTATTTATCTGTCCAGATTCAAGTCTAATGTCATCTGCTCTAAGAAGCCTTTCATGCTTGCTCCTAGGGAAAATAGTTGCTCCTTCTGTATTTGCATATCCCTTTTCTAGCACTTATTGCATGGTATTATGATACATGGTTTAAATTTCTTTCTCTCCTATGACAGTCTTTAAAGGAAAGGATTTTATCTTATTCACTTTGTACCTGTATTGGGTTGAATAGTGTCTCCCATACATTCATGTCTACCCAGAACCTCAGAATGTGACTTTATTCGGAAATAGTCTTTGCAGATGTGATTAGTTAAGATGAGGTCATACTCATTTAGTGTGAGTCCTAAACGCAATGACTGGAGTCCTGAAAATAAGGCCATGTGACAACAGAAACAGAGGATGGGGGGAAACAGCTACAAGACAAAGAACAGCAAGGACTACTGGTAACCACCAGAAGCTAGAAAGAGGTATGGAAGGATTCTTCCCATAGAGGCTCAGAGGGAGCACGGCTCACTGACACCTTGATTTTGGAATTCTAGCCTCTAGGACTATAAGAGAATAAATTTCTGTTGCTTTAAGCCACCTGATCTGTGGTAATTTGTTACAGTAGCCCTAGGAGACTAATACAGTACCCCTAGACCCTCATATCAGTATGTACATGTAGTGGACATTCACATAGTTGTAGAATGAATAGTAGATGTTCAAATGATTAAAACAAAAACCTTAAAGAATACATTTTCGTACACATTATATCTTTTAAAATCTTTTCAACGATCCCGTAAAATAATGTAATGTAATATAAGTATATTATTATACTTATGTTACAAATGAGAAAACTGGCTCAGAGATTAAGCCAACAGCTCTGGATCACAAAGCTGGTACCAGATGCTACAGTCCAGATCTTCGGATTCTACTCTAGTGATCTTTCTAGTAGATTAGGGTACTTTCATAATTACTCAATTAACTGATGGAACCCTTTGGAATCCCTATTGCATGTTGTATTTCTCTTGTGGTTGTTATGGTATACCTGTCTTAAATAATAATTCGTGTTCTTGTCTCAACTCCTTATTCCACGTAAATTCCAGGTTGGTGAAGAAGGATTACTTGCATTTGTATCTTGCTCTGTCTGACATAGTGCCTAACACATAGTGAGTGTTCATCAAATTGGACTGAATAGATACCTGGAGAGCACTAGAATGGTCATTTTGACAGGCCAGTTCTTGCTCAACCTCGGAAACTTCCAGTAGATTCCGCTCACTGACCAACCGTGATAGCTCTCCAACCACTGTCACATGCTTTGATACAGTCCCAGACATCTTCTTAAACTGTGGATAATTCTCAACAAATGCCTGCCATTGGGAAAACATTAATAGGAGGTTCTGTTAGTTCTTGAGTGAGGACAGGCATGTATTAAGAAGGAAAAAAAAAAAAAGCAAGGATTGTTTCCTGCCCAAACTAAGCAACCTACACCTTTCAATCACATGTGATTTTGTTATTCTTAAAAAGAGAAAATACTGGATTCATCAGCAGATTGAGTTTTTAAATAGTCCAAAAATGACTGAAGAATGGAAGGAAGCACATGGCTTATTATGAAGTTTTCACTATATTGTTTACTAAAGAAAGACATTACAGAGTAAGTCTCAAACCAAACATAATAAATCAAGACAGAAATCAGACCTAGACAATTCCAGAAATGTTGTTTACATGAACATTTCCAAAGTCTTGCATGCCAGTCATGCATGTACATGTTCAATTTACCTTCATGTCTGCTATTGATTCTAGTTTTTGCTGTTCTTTCGGTTTCTTCTTCTGAAAGTCTTCCATGAGATTCTTTATATTGCTACCAATCTCAGCAAAGTTCAGATACATATTCTGTGAAAAAGGAAGCAGAAAAACAAAAACGGTTCTATCAACTAGTCTGACCTTCAGACAATTTAAAACAAGAAGTGAAAAAGAGTCTTGTATACAATTAGAATTCAAAGGCAAGAATTCCATTTTAATTACCAAATTTGGACACAGGCCAGGACACTGATGATGAATACCATTACTATTTTCACAAAGGGCTAGTTGATAGGAAGGGAAGTAATTCAACTGGGTTCAAAATTTTAAAAGTATGTGGTTTCTACACTGTTAACCACTCGGAGGGGGATCTCTGTAGGAGATCCTGGATAGAGTGGGAGAACAACATGGAACAAAACTCAAAATCATTAAAAAAAAGAAAAAAGGGGGGGACCAGGTTTGCTGGTCTGATAGAGTCTGGTGGAACCCCTGAGACTATGGCCCCTAGCTGCCCTTCAGGTCTGGAACTGAATCCACACCTGTGGCTTCCAGTCAAACAAAAGAACTGAACATTACATTAGGTAGATACACTCCTTGGAGAGAGAATTATGGGAGAATAGAATAGCTCTGTATACACAGGAAGACAGCTCAGGGGGGCAGAAGTACATGGGAGGGAAGGACACAGGGAAGAAGCAACTATGGGGAGGAAGTGGAAGGGGAGCTATTGCATTGTGGGAAATTTCAGTCAATGTCATGAGACAAAGTGTATGTGAGCTGCTGTATGAAAATGAATTTGCTTTGTAAACCTTCACCCAAATCACATTAAAAAAAAATATATGGTTTCTATGAAAAAAATATTGTAAAGGGTCAGAATCCAAGTCTTTTGCCTTTCCTCAGGATGCAGTGTATCTCCATCCTTCTATCATCTTCCACATGAAATTCCATACAGACTCCCGCTCAAAGAAACCAAAGTTGATCTTCTTACCTAAATATAATTATGCTATAAAAAAATAAAAAGCAAAATACCTACGTTTGCATAGAATTCATCATTTTCAGCAGAAAGAACCACTTCTCTCAAGTCTTTACTGATCCCTGGCACTCTGGAAAGATCAATCCGATTGTTGTTTATGCCCAATAGTTCATGGACCATGGCCTGATATGTCCACTAAATAAAGAATTGCAACAACAAATAAAATTGGTAACTGACAAAACATGGCAACAGTAATTGTTCAGGAAAACAAATAAAATTTAATAACATTCTTAGTAATTAGCCTTCTTTACATGGAGCTTCTCTATTTAGCTCAAATTACATTAATATTTTGTGTTATAATAAGCATTAAGATTGTTATTTTAATTGGTTAAGCACTCAAAAGTCAAAATACTTTTAGATTTTACACTTTTGGAAGAAGGGTACAAAAATTAATTTTCCTGATAGAAAGAAAACAAATTAGATCTATCATTAGCTCCAATCTTTGCCTGTGAATTAAGAGTGTATTTTTGGTTTCACAGATAGGGCTATATTAGTACTGCAGTTACAAGCTGTACCACTTCCTGTATGCTTCTGTGGTTTTCTGCAGCATGAAAAGTGTGTTCTTGCAGATCTGAGTACTGCTATATTTATCCTGGGAACACTAATATTATCAGAAAGAACCTTATGAATTGATCAAAATACTGGCATATTCAGAAGCTTGCCTCTGCCTCCATTTCATTTTATATTTTTTCTTAATATGAATTGTGAAGAAGGATTGGTTTCCAGTGCTACAAAAAGTGAACTTACTTGGTAAAACTTTCTAGTTTTTGAAAGAAATTTGAGAAATCTCAAATTCTGTCTTCTCACCATTTATGGACAATGGATTAATTTAACCATAAGCCCATTAGTCAAAAGTAAGTATTTTCCAACAATTTACCTTCTAAATCTTGCTAGAAAAATATATATTGGTATACTTCATTTTAAGCAATCTATATTTACCAAGAAATAATTTAAGAGGTTATAAAACAAATTGCTTTATTCCTAAAAGATTTGCCATAGGAATCCTTGAAAAAGCAAGTTCATTTAGGGTATTTAAAGGAAGTACAACAAAACGCTTCATGCTTCTATAGATAATATAATGTGTAAGCTTCTACCATAGTATTTATTATATAATTAAAATTATATACCTACTACTGTTCCCATTGGACCATGAGCTCTATTGAGGGCAGAAATTGTACCTTTCACCCTTTTATCTCCAGAACCTAATACAGCATCTCATACATACTAGGCGCTCAGTGAAATTTGTTGAATGTTGGTTTTCTTTGGAGAACAGAATTACAGGCAATTATTTTTCTCTCTACTTCTTTACATTTACAAAAGTTTCTTTAGCAGACATATATTACTTTGAACTTTAGGAAGATAAGGCTGTTTTATATAGAGAAGTTTCATTCCACAGCCACAGATTTCCATTAGCATTAACATTATTATAAGCTTGGAAGAAACTGAAATATAGACTGTACCTTTCTCAAAAAACTCACAGTCACTATTAACAAAACACCCATTACGTGCAAGACATTGTTCTTGTACTTGAAGAACACTGGTAAGACACAGTGTGTCTTGAAGGAATGTATAACATAGCAAGGGTGAGAACAACAAAAGATACAACATGGCAAAGAAGCATGAGACATAAGACAGAGACAAAGTTCTATAGTGAATGTAGGGAGAAAAGAACATGTTTGACCAAACATTTAAGTTCAAGGAGACGTCAAACGGCCTTTGAGTGGTTTTAAGGAAATATTTTGATAGGTGGCAATAGGAAGAGAAGGTAGTCCAAAAATTCTACAGTTTAGGCAGAGTTTATAACATGAATAAAAAGCATGATGGCAGGAAACCATGGGGCATATTTGGGCAGCAGTGACTAGTCCAGTTTTATACGAGGTTGAGCCCTTATTATGAAGGCTCTGGGATGCTGAGTTGAGAAGTTTACACTTAACTCAGTAGGCAAATGGTAACCAATGATGATTTTAAGCCAGGGGAGTAATAGGATTAGAGCTATACTTTAAGAAATGTAATTTTTAACAACAGTGTAATTTTTTAACAAAAAATGTAATTTTTTACATCAGAGTGAGAAGAAATTGAAAGTGGGGAATCAACTAGATGACTATTTCAGTATTCTTGCACGAGATTAAGGTCTGCATCAAAGTAATGGCAGTAAGAATAGAAAAGAGCAAACGGAAAGGAACACTAGAAAAGTAGAATCTATAGCACTTAGAAGTTGACTTTATTAGGGGTGGGGAGTAGCGGCAGAAAGGGACAGGAAGGATAAGGCAGAAGAAAGTGTCAAAGATAACTGTGGCTGGAAGAATGGTGAAACCAATACATCAGGAAACACAAGGCAAAAACAAGAATAGCTGAAAATAAGGAGGCAAAAAAATGGATCATGCTGTCAATACCCATTTCTGCATTTTGATAGATACCACTTAAAATCATCCTTATAGTTCACCAATGAAGGTTTATTTGCACCTGGTTTAGCAATGGGGTAATGGCATCATCACAGCGATCTAATATAAGCAGCAATGGAGGAACCTCAGTGCGCCGGAATTCAAAAAGTTCATATTCTTTAGTTATCACTTGCTGTGGGTGAGACAGAAAGATAGTTTGGTCAACAAATTTGTTGTAGATAAAGATGACATAAATAATAAATTAACACATAAAACCACATCTAACAATAGTTCTTTGTACCTGCATAGGCCTTCCATAAAAGGAATCAAAAGCTTCACAAGTTTGTGTTGTTGTTATGTGCCGTCGAGTTGGACCTGACTCATAGCGACCCCTCCTTGGGTTTCCGAGGCAGTATCACTACGGAAGTAGACTGCCCCATCTTCCTTCCGAGGAGTGGCTGGTGGGTTTGAACCGCCCGCCTTCTGGTTAGCAGTCAAGTGCCTTAGGTACTATGCTACCAGAGCTCCCTTTACAAGTTTAGTAGCATTCAATTTAAGAGGTATTAGGATTCAGAACCTGATTTTACAAGTGTTTTAACTGGATAAAAACATGGTCAAATAGCTTGTGGATGTTACCTGAGTTGGAATTGAATAATCTTAGCTTTAATGTGTTGTCTTTGATATTTGGATTGCAACTACTGACCTCTTTGCCATTGCCAGTAACCTAACACATCATCTCCTTGGTTCTGCATAAAATGTTCTTTTCTTTTTCTTATATTTAAGGTGTTGTTGTTGTTGTTATGTGCCATCGAGTCGGACCTGACTCATAGCGACCCCTCCTTGGGTTCCCGAGGCAGTATCACTACGGAAGTAGATTGCCCCATCTTCCTTCCGAGGAGTGGCTGGTGGGTTTGAACCACCAGCCTTCTGGTTAGCAGTCAAGTGCGAAATAAATAAATTTATTTCCATAGGGAAATAAATGGTCTTCATGTTCTTGAGCCAAGGTAGGCAATACTATACCTTAACACATTCAGCAAGTCTTTTTGCTGCCTCTGATGAAAGCTGATAACGAATCATGGGACACTTCTTCAGAGACAGGAGGAGAGCTGTTAGCCCTTGAGTTGTTCTGGATAGCTGAGCTGGATCCCAATTTCGACCCTTTTTTGTTAAAAACATACATTCAAAGAAAATATGTGAATTTTTTTTACAAGTCCAATTATTTGCTGAATTAATTCCCACCTGATGAATTAACTTAATTTTTGATCCTTTTCTCCCATACCTGGCAGCAACCCAAAATATTAAGGGAGAACAAGTGAGGATTCACAGCAATGTAATCACCATAAAATTCCTGCAAATAAAGAACACGAAGATCAGTCATTTCATAAACTCCCATTTTATCATGCAGTAATGTTAAATGCTAAACAGAAGGTTGGCGGTTCAAACCCAACAGCCACTCCTCGGAAGGAAGGTTGGGCAATCTACTTCCGTAGTGATACTGCCTCGGAAACCCAGGGAGGGGTCGCTATGAGTTGGTCTGACTCGATGGCAAACAACAACAACAA